CCCCAAAACCCCAAAACCCCAAAACCCCAAATCTACAAAACCTTGTTGATTACTATAAATATTAAAATGGAAGAGGACAAGGAGATGGAGATCCAAGAACAACTAAAGCAGGAGAGAGTCAAGATGGCCAATGAAGAAACTGAAGTCTATCTCTATGGAGACAATGAAAAAGACTCGCACTCAAAAGTTAGCGAGAGAAGGAAGAGCCAAGGCCAAGGCCTTGCCTCTTTTCTTAAGGAAAATTATATGGGCGAGTTTTCGAACAAACCCTCCCTTGGGGATAGAGAGACAAGAGCACTTTCACAAGATGTAGAGTCTCCAGCACAGGATATGATCAAGAGCGATGTGATTGACTATGATATGGACCTCGGAAGCCTTGATGACGAAGGCGAGCCGGATATTGTTCTCATAGAGGAAGAATATAAATCCATGCTAGATAACTCCAATCATGGCCACTTCCTTTCAAGAAAAGACTTCAAATTTCTGAAACTTATCGGATCTGGAGCCCACGCTCAGGTTTATCTCGCTGAGAAAATAGATAATAACAAGCTTTATGCGGTAAAAGTTCTCGATAAAAAGGAGCTGAACAGGAAGAAGCAGATCAAAGGGACAAAAATTGAGAGGAAAATATTAGTAACAAAAATTAATAATAGCTTTAGGAGAAAATCAAAAGCCCTTTCATAGTCAGAATGCACTGTGCATTTCAGAACAACACTAAGCTCTTCTTGGTGCTGGAGTACTGCTACGGAGGCGAACTGTTCTTTTATCTTAAGCATATGAAAAAGTTCAAAGAGAGGACAGCTAAATTTTATGCAGCAAACATTGTGCTCGGCTTAAAAGCTCTCCATGAGAGCCAAATTGTGTATAGAGAGTAAGAAAAATTTGTTTAAAATTTTAGTCTCAAACCTGAGAATGTACTAGTCAACCAGGATGGATACTTAAAAATCACTGATTTCGGACTCGCCAAAGAAAACGTGAATACTACAGAAGGTGCTCAAACCTTATGTGGAACTCCTGAGTATCTGGCCCCAGAAGTCCTGAAGAACAAACCCTACGGAAGAGCAGCAGACTGGTGGAGCTTTGGCTGTATTGTGTATGAAATGCTGGAAGGACTTCCTCCATTTTATTCCCAAAACAGAGACCAAATGTTTAAAAATATTTGAAATCATGAAGCAGATTTTCCAGAAGATATGAACCCTCAGGCACAAGATCTGATAGAAAGGTTAATTGAGAAAGATCCTTTTGATAGAATTGGCTCTAGTGAGGAAGATGCCCAAGAAGTAATGAACCACCCATGGTTTTCGACAATTGACTGGGAGAAATTAGAGAAGAAAGAGATCAAACCTCCATATTATCCAGATACCTCAGAGAAAGGTTTAAACTACTTTGACACAGATTTCACCGATGAGGACATTAAGGTCCACTTAAGAGCTTTTTCACCAGAATGCTCTAGTGCTTCGCTTGGAGAAGAATTTGATGGTAAGGCATATAAATCTTATAATATAGACTTTGATTACCAGGAGGAAGAGTGCAATGATACTAATTAAATCTCTAACCTATATTTTTCTGTAAAAGACTTTTCATTTCAATTATATTATTTCTTCTCGGGGTTTTGGGGTTTTGGGGTTTTGGGGTTTTGGGG